GAAAGAGAGGACGGACCTGCGAGAGAGCGCAGGTCCGTCCTCTCTCCAAGGCTTAGTCCTGGGGTAAGCAAACCAGCCCTTTTGGCGGAGCTGCTGGACCAGCTGCACCACTTGCGTCATTACTCTCCTACCGTACCGACCGAGTTGAAGTAGTCCGTCGACCGTCGGGGACCCCATCCCCTCCCCAACATTCAGCATACGGTCCCAGCAGAAACGCCAAAAGGGCTGGTTTGCTTACCTCCTCGCCACTCACCAATTCCCCCCCCCCCCCCTTCCCGGATAACCACAGCAGATCCAACTCCTTGTTGAGGAACATTTTTTATGCCCTGGGCCATAAATCAATGAAAACGAATGGAAGTAATCATTGATGGCTCTGCGAGGATTCATAAGGGTTGTTCATAAACTCGTCACTGACTTTCGCTGTTGAGCTACATCTGCCGTCCAATTTTCCCATGTATCCGCCTCCTCCTCCCCTCCACAATTTTTTGACAAAATGCCAAAATATAAGTTCAGTAACTATCTCAAGACTAAACTCATTGAGTAATTAAATTTGCCTTTGGAGGCTTCTAATGTTTCAGATTGGAATCATCGCTCACGAGTTCATGCATGCTCTCGGTATATGGCATATGCAAAGTCGATCTGATCGTGATAACTTCATCACAGTTGATCTGACAAATGTGCCGGTAAGCCAATTACTATTGCAGTTTCCCATACTAAGTGTTTCACAAACCTTACAAAGGGGAGTTCTTTCAGGACATGGGCGTTTTTTCAAAATTCAAAATGGTTTTCTGAATGTTGTAGAGACTCATGTGAGGAACACAGAACCATGGTCCATTTTTCCTGAACGCCCCCAGGAATGTCAAAACAGCGGGGAAGAAATGGTCCAAAGTTCGATCCTCCGTGATGACAAATTTTTGCAATTTATGTTGGCGCCTCCAAATTGCCGCAAAACACGACAATGACATCTATTCTCCGATGGCGCCATTTGGCGGCAATCTGGGGCGTCAAACTATATTGCAAAAGTTTTCATCACCGGGGATCGAGTTCTAAACTATTTCTTCATCACTGTTTTCATTGTTCAACGCATGAGCCCCTACTACGTGCAGAAAACCATTTCGATAAAGCGCACCACGTCCTGAAAGACCTTTCTTGTTGAAGGAGAGTGTTCCGCATTGAAAACCACTTTTGAGATTATTCCAAGCCAAGCCGCAGATAGTCCAGCGCATTTCTCTTGTCGAACACCTTCAAATCCAGAGAAAAGTGGGTTTTTCAAAATGGGAGCTCCGGTGAAAGTGCACCATGACCCGTAACCGCCGGAAGCACTGCAGTGCTCGCATAGTGTCTGCACGTTGTATCGTAGGGAAAAATTTATCCCCACTTGAAACAGTAAATCATTCCTTTACCCAATTATTTCCTTCACAGCGTATATAAATAAATCATGGGCAACAACAAAAAACTTCAAGAACAAATGCGCAGGTTTAGACAAAGGCGGACATGGAGATCACTAGCAGCAATTTCACATCAGGTTACTCCCACTGAAACTTCCGCAAATCGAAAGTCCTTTTCAGACAGAAAGTCAACACGCCTACAACAAACTCACGACAACCGAATCAGTAAACTACACTCCATACGAATATGGCAGTGTCATGCACTATGACACGCAATCGTAAGCGCTTTCTGTAGTGATTATTTAACTAGGTGCTAATTGAGTTGGAGAGGGCACAACGCTGTGCGGCGCTCTGTTCGTCTGCATTCCCGATGGTGAAGCTTAATTTGCGGTGCTGCTATACAGGGTGGCCGATAAATATAGTAGGACGCCATGTTTTTGCGTGTAAATGCTTAAGAAAAAGACTCGATCAGGAAACCAACTTCACAAAAAGATAGATTAGCTAATTGATCACTTATGCAGAAGGTGCTTTGAATTTGACGACTCTGCTTTGAGAGAGGCCTTCTGACGTCCAACGACAAAATCAGCAGTAGCCAACGGCGATGTCGTCCCACCTCTTCTGAAGCGCTAACTTCAGAGCACCCACCGAGCTGGAGAAGTCTTATGAGGTCTTGCTCTACAACATCCTTACATAGAGGAGTCCATCGGGTTAAGGGCCTAGGCCTAAGGGAAAGAAGGTCACAATTTCTTTCTATAAACGAGTATTAGGGAGCCCAGCTTCATTGAAGAGCAAACAATCATTGAGCAAATGCTCGTAATCCAGAACAACATACCGTACCTCATTAAAGTCTTTTGCAAGACCTTCGAGTTAATTTTAACATTTGTGGAAGATGAACTCCAATGGAGCTGCACTTTTGGATGTTACCCCGTCACAAACTACCACACCTTCGGGAGAAAGTCTGTTGTAAACTAGACGTTATCTCGGAGACTTGCTCTCACTTTTTGGCAACAACTGCCTCTGACTTTGGTGGTCGCAAAGAAGTTCTGGTCAAAAATCCCCTCATTGTCGTGACCAGCGCCACGACCTCGAGTAAAGGTGCTTCAAGGCAGCTGGTTAGAGGCCCCCCGCGCGCCCCCCCTCCCCCAACCTCCCCCAGCACATAAAAATAAATGAAAAATACAAGGCGGAATACCGGTTCAAACTCCGCGCCATCGGCACAGGACCTTGGTTGCCTGCGCCTTTCAAACTGCGCGCGAACCGTAGCCACGTCATTCATACGCCATTGCATCATCGTGGAGCGGTCGCCCTCTATTCGCCTCTCCGGTTATCGGCTATTCATCGCTGTTATTCTGTTTCCATCATCATGCGATGACACCAGCTCGCCATAAAATAGTTAGATTAACTTTAGTATATTCTTATCTAAATATCATCAACTTTAGTCGTCTCGCCGGGATAACCTCTAGTAGTTACCTTACTCTCTTCCACTTAGATCTTAGTTAGTTTCAATATGAGAGTTAGCACCTTAGATTTCTTAACTGTATTCACTCAACATTCTTCTAGTAGTCAACCGTAGTTATATTTGATCGTAGATTCTTTCCTCCTTATTCTTGCAATAGGATTCACAAGATACAGATGCTATTCGTAAACTATTTCTAGTATGTGTTTGCCTATAGTAACTTGTGTAATGTTTATTCAGGCGATATGAAGAAGCGTAATATATAGCCTATAACAGTTAACTCTAACACAGTATACGCCGCGCACACGCCGCCATCAATCTCGCCTAGTCGATCCATTCGTGTCATCTTGGATCCTCTTCTTGTTCACTTGGCAGATCGACATCCTTCGCACTACTAGGCAATCAGCACGCGCCAGCACGCTTATGCCCTTTGGGCACAGGGGAAGCAAGGCCTCTTGTCAACCCGCTGCAGGCATCAAGGACTTCGGTCATCAAGCATTCTTCGTTGCACGCATCTTCCCTTCAGAGGTGTTGTGGGCACCCACCGGAATCCCACGTTTTGCCGTGTCTCGTCGGATTCGCCGATGCGTACCACTCCACTGATCCGCCTGGCACGACACTCATTAATCCAATCCGTAAGAGAGATGTGGCGCACCTCGAGCTCGTGCAGAAACTTTTTGCATTTTATCAGTTGAATCTATTCGGGTTGCTCCAATAAAAACCAGCATAGAAAGAGTCGGTAACCTCTTCAAATAATGACTGCTTCCCAAGATTTTCTGGAAGGAGTGACGGCAGATCCTGAGATCAAAAGCGATGTGACTCACGCTGGCTTCATCGTTGTGAGCCATCCTCTTCTAGGTGATTGCCCCAATCCTCTGAGTGTGCACAGTTCTTGAACTTCCACTTTTCGCAATCCCAGAGACGTGTGCTTGAACCTTGAGAGCACCGAACATGTTTCAAAGAGTTGAAGAGGGAATACCGAGTCGCTTTCCGAAGTTGCAATTTCAGAGACCGTCATTGGGCAGCCCTTGGTAATGGGTCGATGCAAAAAATCTTCATGGCGAGAGTTCAGATGAACTTTGGACCAAACAACTTATGGTGCTTCTTACATAGTTTCAAGCTTTCGAAGAGTTTTGAAACACTCTGAAAATACTCCACGGCTCAGTGCCAGCAAGCGGTCAAAGCCGCGTCCTATGCCTTCGTTCACCCTGCATATCTGAACTGTCAAGTCTTGGCGACCACGTAGAAGCGCAGACGAAGAACGCGCCGAGTGGACCTACAACTCCAATAAAATAGCACCTTTTACAAAAATGCAGTAGAGATCATCTTTCATGAATAATTTTCAGGTTTGCTACAAGTGGAAAATCACTTGTCCCAAAAAGCCCGAGGTATCTGTACACGTTGGGTTCGCACCAGATTTCATTCTACGACATATTTATGATCAATTCTCATTACAAGTGTAATGGTGGGTAATGTAGCTTCCATTAAAATTATACTGGATTCCCTCAGTTTCAAGAACGATTCACACTTCAGCTTCTTGAAAAGGATTGGTCCATAGCTTCTCAAGCGCAGTTGTTCAGCCACAATTCGACTTTTGGCCCCGCGTCAGCTTCGCCCAGCGAAAAGCCGAATTTAGTGGGGGTAGAGATGACCGTCTGTCTGTTATAGAAGGGGAAGGGGTCTCATTAGGGGTTGCTTTTGTGGGTAGAAGAAAATTTTATAAGGAGCGTATGACTTTAGGAGCCTGCAGCAATATGATTCCCCCTCGATCCGACGCCCTTTCTGAGGAGATTTGGAGAGATATAGAGAGATTCAGATTTAGTGTATCAAATGATGGCAGTTTAGCGTTATTAACGACACCATCGGTGAATATGATCGGCTTCGGGGACGGGGCAGGTGAGCGGATGAATTGATCGGAGAGCCCCTTGACGGACTTTTTGGCCCGTTTTCCAATGTGATTATCGGACGTAACCTCCCCTTCAAAAAGCGAGAAAGTGTCGGGTGCAGACCAAACACCACAACTGACGACGGCCTCTAAATCTGGTTAGAAGTTGTTCATAGTGATAGCTGATTTCTGGTAAATGATAGTTGTAATTAGTGACAATCGATAGAATACAACTGCAACAGGCTAATCATTTCATTGGCAGAAAACATTACATTTTGTGAAGGCCGTCGTCACTTGTGGTGCATGGTCTGCACCCGACGCTTTTTGTAGGGTCGGGTGGGTACGTGCCCTCTTGTCGTCGGCGTTATAGGCTGATTTCCAATGCAGTTGGGATTTTCCCCTCCCATCGCTAGGCGTTACATATTTCGTATGCGTTTTTCGACAAAATTCTAGCATTTGATTTTTTTTTTGATTTCGTTTGGTCAGTTCTTTGGTCTTATACATTATAGGCATATGTGCGGCCAAAGGTGCAGCATGTGTGAACGGAGGAAAACGGAATCCGAAGAACTGTGCTGTATGCATTTGTCCTGCCGGGTACGGTGGCGCACTGTGCAACCTTCGGGTGAGCCTTTTCCGCAACACGGTCCAGAACTAAAATTTGATGTAAATGTGCAGTTGTGAGAAAAGTGGCTAAGAGGTGTAGTAGCTGAAAACCGATTTCAGCCAGCAGGGTGTGGCGCGGTTGTGACAGCAGGACCCACCTGGAAATCAAGAGTGGTCACTCTGGGCGACGCAACGAACACGGCGGTCCGCGACACTTACGCAATGTGCAATGACTGGGTCAAGGTCTGGTACTCAGAACTATTCAGAAATAGGATTGGAAAAGTCTCCAGAGAATCTGTTATGAGCATCAGAAAATCCAATGATTCAATTTCAGGCTCCAGCTGGGAAAAAAATTCAAGTCCAGGTGGCCAAAATGGAGGGAGTCAATTGCCTCTATGGTTGTTGGACACAAGGGATAGAGCTCAAGACACTGCCTAATAAACTTAATACGAATCCAAGGTTTGACTTGACCATCATATTTCTCGTTTATATTTAGTAGACAAGAAAGCTGTCAATGTCACTTCTATCGCATCCATTACTGAGGGATGGCGGGAGGATGAACGAGTTTCTAGGTGTGCTCCATGCGCAGAGTTTTCATCCGAGTCGAAGAGGCATTGATAGGTGCCTGATCAGATGCTAATATAGCTCAGTAGCATGCATTAGGAAATGTTCTACGATCGCTCCAACAGTGACAATGAAATGTTCATTCCAGGGCGTGCTGTACCGAGCACCTGAAGAAGATACTCGTCAGCAGTCTAAACCCTACACCAGTCATCTTATACAACAATTATTTTCAATCGAAAATCACATATCAGTACAGATATATTTGACCTCTCTGTTTATTGTTTATTTTGTTTGACCTCTTTGATTTATTTATTTATTTATTTATTTGCTTTGTTTCTGTTTTTTATTTATTTATTTGCACAACAAGCCAAATAAAGCTGACAATCGCATCGATCTGATTTCTTTTATTACCATTTGATGATGTGTTTGACTTCTACAAAATTTCCGCAGGCGCTCAACAAGGTCGTCATGAGAGTAAGGTTTTCGATTCTTTAGTTTTTCGTATGCTTGAAAAGATCAGAAGGTACAGAGGAAAAAGTCACGTTGAAATAGAGGCAAGAGAGTTCTTAAGGAAGCCTCAGCCTACAATTCAATAATGAACGTCACACATTTTCAGCTACACTCCATATCTCGGAGTCGGATTAGGCGGGGCTACGGACTTGGCGTAGAAGTTGCCGCACTTGACAGTCGTCGCGCTGTATTCCCAGCTGATTCTGCTGGCTCCACTACTTTAACGGGAATTGCAGCAGTATTTTACTATTTTCTGGAACTATTCGATCACTGAGACATCCTTTTGAAAAGGTTGTGAAGAAGAAATACAAGGAGAACGGCCTGAGACCTTGAAAGGGATCCCTTCCTGCACGTAAATCTTCGATTAGATCAGTTCTACGAGTATTTATTAGGTTGGCCAGGTTGAAATGTTGTTTTCGATCATCAATGATTTTCATTATAAAAACTGTAATGAAGCGCACCTGAACCATCTGCTTCACCTGTGTTACAGGCTCATCACCTTTCGCTACACAAAGCATGGATGCTTACCGTGCAGAACTATTTCCGTTTCGACTCGAAAAAGTTGGGCACGTCGTTTTGACGTCGTCGCGGTTATCGAATTGGTTTGCTGCTAAGGAGTGTTGCGCTGACCTGAGTCAGTGATAGTCGGACGGCCAGACCTGGGCTATATGGCGCGAGAGGCAGAGCGTCCCAGCCCAACTCCTCGATTTCTTGTTGCAAAATTTTCGCGATGTGTTCTTGCATTATCGTGCCATAATTTTTCATTTGCCGAAGTTACCCTTTGACGACGCGTAGCTCGGCCCACGTCGTGGATTTGTTGAACGCATAGTTCAGCTGTAACTGTCTGACACCCAACAGCTCTCCATTGCAATCCAGTCTCATAGTATTCACCACACCGTAGCATGACTTTTTCTCCGTGGATGTCCAATTTCGAAGTCATCCTCAGCTGTCCATCTGCTCCCAGCCGTGGCCATCTTCTCACGTTATTATCGGGAAACATCCCTTTGTAAAATGCGGTCAACACGAAGTCAAGAACCTTTTTTGAAGTTATGGAGCGAAGTTCCAGTATTGGCAACCAGTACTGCTTGCTCGCGTCGCTCAGAATAGGCCGAACCCATTTTCTATCCTGAAAGGCCTTAACAGTCGCACGTAGGAACTTTTAAATTTTTCTGTTGACACAACTGAATCTCCATGCAAGTTTTGTGCGGTTTGTCGAGGACTCAATTCGTTGGCTTTCTTTATTTCTCCGTCATCTAGAGCTAGAGGTCAAAATCCACGATCTTCGTCGCCAGGTCCTTTACCTCAGTCTTGGAAGAGCTGAAACCATAGCTGAAAGTGCATCAGAGACTAAGTGTTACTGCTCAATGTTTTGCACACAATGAGTGGATTCGTTGGCCGTTTTTCGTTGCTTGAATATATACGCTCAGACGATGATTTCTGATCAGTCATCTTCGAGCAAAAGTTTTGGCTCGAAGAACATCCGCTCAGTGGCGCCTAAGTTTCGCAATATGCGCGCTGAATCGCTCTCTCAAAT